AAATGTTAAATAGATCGACCCCACATCGAGAGTCCTTGAAATTTTGTTGTAAGGGTTGCATTCAGAGGATAGATGACTGTGTATTGTGGTGGTAAATAAATGACTAAAATAGCATCAAAAGAAGCTAAGTTTGTATAAGGGTCACTTGATGTTAAAAAATTTTAAAAAATCGGAATAAAGAAAAATTTTTTTCTTTTTTTTTTAATGTAAAAAAATGTTTATTATTCAGAGAAACAAAATTATTTTACAACAAAATATCTTTTACAAGTAGAAATTAATAAATGTAAAATCCAACCTCTGGAGCTAGTTATGAAAAATGTCAAAAATTTTTTAAAATAATTCATTCAAAGAGAAGGAAAAAATATATTGATAAGAAAATAAATATTTAAAATATGTTGAATAGGAGGAAAGAAATATCAAAGGTGAAAGCCAACACTTGACATGAGAGACCGACAGTATAGAAATAGTTTTTCTCAAGTTGAGTAGTCCATCGTTGGGTCAGCCGTTCGTGCAAATGTCATTGATATATGGAGTGTCTTCCAACCAAGAAATAACATGAAACTTTCTTTCCACCTTTTTCAGCCCACTTGATTTCATCTTATTCAAGACAAAATAATAAAGATACTCTTCTTCTTATATTTATTTCTTCCAAAGATTACAAATATATTTCTCTCATCATTAATTCTTTCGTCTCATTTTAACATTATTAGTGATATTCGAAATAAAATGATTGTTGATAAAAATGACTGAAGAGAAATAAATTATAAAAATGAAGATTAATCAAGGTTGAGCAGGAGATGCAGCAAATAAAAAAGAGCCAAATTTAATTAATGATAAAAGAGGAGCAAAAGCCATTGCTGTACTGACATAGAAACGGATAAATTTTCTGTACACAATTTTTTTCTTGTTCTCGAGCTTTTCATGGAGGTTGGCATGATGAGTCGAGCAAATAAAAAGTGAATGCGACTTTGAGGCAACAGATGAAAGCGAATGCTCCACTGCTCTGTTCTCTTCTAGCAGCTTTTCGCTCTCTCCTTTCAACCACTCATTCGCTATTGCTGACCAGGAAACACCGAGAAAGGGAATTATATAGTTTTTTTACACAAACAATAAGCATTCGAGTACTTGAACCAAATATACATAAATCCGTTATAATAATAATAACAGCAACAATAATAACAAAATATTAATTTTTTTTACTCTTTTTGTTAGTCTATTTTATCATATTATCAGATACAGCAATTTAATTATAAATTAATTAAAGGCAAAACAATTTCTGCTGTTGAATGTATGTAATTTTTATTCACAAGAGAAAAAATAAATAGTTTTCATGTCAAATTTATAAATGTTGATTTTTTTTTTTTTTTGTAATTTCAGTCTACAAACAGTTTGTTTGAAAGCTTATAAAAATGTGTAATTCACTTGGAATGTTTTTTTTAAACTCTCTAGTGTTATTCTAACATGAAAAAAATTTTTTTAAATACGTTCAGGTGTCCAAAGAATGCATTACTTTCCATAAAAAGGCCCCACTCTCTTAAGTACATTTATTTTACTAAATTTAAATTTTTTTATTAAACTTTTTCCATCAAATAATTGCAATTCTCAAGACTTTTTAATTTATAGGCAGGTTAAGGGCAACTTTATGACACAGTAAAACTATACATTGTTATAAATCTCAAATAAGAATGTCGAGTATTTTTATCCAGGTGCGTCTTACGTAAGGGAAAGATGAAAATAAATTGTCACTCCTGACAGGGGACGGGAGAGAAAAGAAAAGTCCAATACAATCGCTAGTTTCACCGTCATGAATTTGTCGAGTTTTTGTTTTTTTTTCGACATATTATTCGCATGTTTAATTGTTATGTAAAATAAAAATGAAACAGCTGAATGTTGATGATGGTGGTAGTAAATAATAATTCTAAAAAGATTTTAAAACAAAAAATAAATTAATAGATTATTTATCAATATTGATTAAAAAGAATGTAATTTCTAAAAATTCTGTTTTGTGTTAAACCAACAATCACAAAATATTAATCTTCATTAATTAACGAAGCGTAATTTATGATGCTAGAAGTAGTCAATAACATAAATAATTAGTCCTGAGTAATTATCTGGGTGGTTGATGACAGGATTATTAAATGCAATGGAACTTTGTTGAAGGGAAGAAGTCGTTTATGAATGTAATAATGGCATTGTTTGATAGTAAATGATCGTAGTGATGATGTGGGGAGAGTGGATGCAGTACGAGGTATGAATCGACACATTGGTGCTCTATTACTAGCACGAACGGAACTGACTCTAGAGAGGAAGTCACGACACGGTGCATCGATTGTAATAAGAGCACCAAAGGGAATCGCTGAAACGCGATCGCGTGATCGACATACAGATAGACGCTGTTGCGAACTCATCATCACGTGCCATCGATAACTTCCATTCAGCTTCATCGTATCACTCCACTTGAATTCGAATCGCCGTTGAGGATACACGTTCGTTATCATGCTATGCATTCGGAGATACTGTTTCGGCAGAAATCAAATTCTGATATACTCTGTCAAAGGTCCCAAGTTGTAAAAAATGTGCTACACTTTTTTTTTTCATTTCAATCATGTCCATAAGAACATTTAGGGTTATTATTTAAATTTTTTGAGATCTAAACAGAGATACACAGTCTTTTTAAAAATTAAAAACGTATTTCAATTTAATAACAACGTTGAATAAAGAGATCTAATTTTTTATTAGATTGGCGTTAAAGTATAGAGGTGTGCAAATAGAGATGGAAAAGAGTGTCTGTAGACGAGTTTAAAGCCGTTACAAGGTGTGAGAAGTTTGTAGGAAAATTGCTACATTCCAACATTTTTATTTGGCTATTCTCACTCGACTGTTTCCACTCATGGAGTAGTTCTAATCGGTGAGCGTTATTTCCGTTACACTGTCTCATTCGTGGATTAAATTTCTATGGCTAACATTTGCACTAACCGATTATACGTACTTCACATACGACTCAATGTCGTATAGTCCCACCTACATAATACTACCAAAAGAGCTCCCTAGAGAAAATTTACTATTACGCCAGCATTAATCCCACTCTTTTATGACTCAATCGAGTTTCAAGTGACTTTTCGATCATTTAATTAATCATAAAAAGTTTTGTATAATGTCATAATTGTGCTGAATTCTTTAAATAAACTAGTCAAGAGAACAACCATTTGTTTAGTTGATTTTTAATTTAAGAAAAATTAATTTTCAATAAAGTTCATGAATGAACACATTTTTAGATGAAACTAAAGGCTGACGGAGAAGCCTTTGATGATCACGTTTCTCTTTGATTTTTCTTCATTTTATCTTCATCTCAAGGAAAACAGATTGTTAGTGAAGACGTAGACGAAGCTACTGATCTACTGTTAGCAGTATAAGAGAGAATCAGAATAAAAAAAATTCCATTGGTGTAAGGACAAAATGATATTGCATTCTTGAGCTAAAGCAATTACTCGAAGTTGAAGTGTACTATTGTCACCCTTGGTTACCTGTAGTCAAGTTTCAAGCTTCTAGAAGATACATGAAAATGAATCAAATGATACTTGTCAACTTTCGCTTTTAAATTAAATGGCATTTTGAGAGATGCTAGTACTTAGCTTGATAAAATTAAAAGGAAAAAAGGTTACGAAATACATAAGAAATTCACCTATGACTAGTAAACGGAGTGGTAAAAGGGACAGAATTTGATAGAAAGTAAAATGGAAAAGAGTAAAAGAGTCTAGAGAAGCAACAGAATAGAATGATGGTTGAAGCTCGTTGCTTCTAATGCGGGCTATTCAACTCCCACAATGCACTAGTAATACGATTTTGTTGAATCTTCCCCCTTCCCCTCTTTACATCCCTCACCAAGTACCGCTTCGTAACCATACCAGTAAGCATCAACGAGAGCCACTGACGAACATCAGACGAATGTCGACTCGTGCGCAATATGAATTCACCTATGGCTTCCACATGTTCTCTAAAGGATTCACCCGCCGGCCAAAAGCTTTTTCTTTCCCTCGTCTATGGACTAGTAGATTAGACCACCATGTCTGTTCATCTTTAGAATCAAATCTCTCTTTAGTCAGACCAAGATCAATTTAACTAATTGCCATCGAATTCTGTTTTTCTCGTCATCCAAAGTTTCCTATGAATGTCTTGATGAATGACCAATCACAGAATTTCGTAGTTTTAGAGCTGATGAATAAAACAACCTGAGAAATTTTTTTCAACATTTACCCTGAATAAAATTCTTTAAAAAGGATTTAAACATCCTAATAAGTTAGAAAAATCTATTTTTTTTATATAAAATTGGAAAAAAATGAGGATTGTGTAGGAGAGTTACTTCAATAATAAACTTTCAACTGTTACAAATGTTTTTATTTTTACAACCAGTTTCAAAAATTTTTATGATTATTTTTCATTCAGTTCTGTTGACTTAAACTAGGTTAAATGCAGTTGAAAAATCGTCCACAAGATTCAGTGATAGATTATAAGCATTGAAAAGATTGAAGAGATTTAGGAAAGATTGAGAAAATCGGAAAACAATTCTAGTGAATTCTAGAAGTTGGCGTGACTAAAAGTAATATTAGATAAGATTTAGTGAAAAAAGTGACAGCAAGTTTTGTACAGTATTCGAATTGGACAAAATGTATCTTTTTTTGTTGACATGAACAGTGATCTCTTGGCTAGCTATTTCAACATTAAACAACGACGGTTTCCAAATCAAGTAAAATAACTGACGTACACGAATTGAAGCTCAAACTCTTGTCCATTCTGACCTCTACTAACAACATCAGCCAATCAGTTTTAAATATTTGATGAAATTTTTCTTATTAATAAAGAAAATGTTCATTCTTGAATGTATCAATAGCTTTAGTGACTTTTCATCAAAGTCTTGGATGTTAAAAGATCAAAAAAGTAAGACATATAGAAAAGAAAAGATCTAAGATTAGTTGAAAACAAAAAAAAATAGCAAGACTTACCCATGTCGTTGTCACCAGGAACCCCAAGGCTGTCGCTATTGTCATTTATAAAGGCTTCCGCTGTTGACGTAAATGTCTGAGGTGATAGTGTGAGGTCCGGGCCACTCTCACTGTCGAACAATTCCAAATTGCTATTTCCTGTAAGTTGACAAACACCATAAGACTACTGTCATATATTTAAAGACCAGCGTATTGATAAATAAATATATGTATATCTTGTACTTTTTAAGGTAAAGTTTTTTTACTGAAAACACAATAAATTTTATTGAACGGCCCATTTTCAAAGCTTCATCCTTTTGGCGTTTTCGTTATCGTACTTGGACCACACATAAACGAGAGTTTAATGCAAATCGATCGTTAAAATTCGAGGGACATTGCAATTTAGAATTTAGGGTTTATGAAGTAAATTCCTCAACTATCGATTATTTGATATTTTTTATCATTTTTATTCAATCTACTAGGGTAATGTCAACTTGTAGAAAATTTTTTTCAGCCTTCTAGATCATTGGAAAATATTAATTAATCAATTATTTTTATGTTAAACGATAATTTTTTGGTTCATCGGAAAATAAAAAAGCTTTTGTCATGAAAACACACGAATAAAGTTGACTTAACTCATTGAACCTTTGATAGATTTTTACAGCGAATGAATTTTTATGTAAAATTGTGACTGTTTGCAGCATAGACAGCAATCACAGCATCGTTTATAGTAGCTCGCTAGTTAAGTGGGTGGAGTTGACATGAATATGTAATGATCGGCCATTTGAATGCTCTGCTTTACGCTAGACACTGCAGGATTCAAATCCAAGTCTCTCGATTGATATATTCTGGAATTATGCATCTGCCTTTGGAGTTGATGGGTACTCAATGCTCGTCCGCATCCGCTACACATTGGATGTGTAAATATCCACTACAGTAGTCAGGGAAATATCCAATGCCCTATAAATCTAATCAGTCAACATAAATTTATGGATCCAGACTGTCAGTTTTATTGTCATATTGATCAGGAAAGAGCTATATACCTCATTCTTGAAAAACTACCTATTAATTGTGATATCCATTTCGTCTATTTTATTGAAAGTCAAATCCTGAATGCAGAACTCGAAAAAGTAGAATAAATGTTTTTATGATTTGTAAATTTTTTTAAATAGAAAAACCTCATGAAGCTAGCAGAATTAGATTCAAGGGTTGTTTGTTTAGGGATTGATTTCATTTAAATATTATTATTTGTTTTTTTTTTTTTTTTTTTGTTATTTATTTATTTCAATCATCGATGATTCGTAGGTTACAAAGATTATAATTTTTTTTTTATTTGTAATCTACCTTTTTTTTTTTTTAATCTAGATAACAATATAAATACATCTGAATAATGAATTCACTTATCTGAATTTCACGAAATTTTATGAATATATTTTAGCGAGTTCCTTGGTGTTGAAGAAGAAATGAATGAATAAAAAGAGCAAAAAATTAAATAAAAATAAAAATCTAGTAGTACGACCAATGGACGTAAAAGGAACATCAGATATAGAGCAAGACATCACCAGCACCATCACGTTTTTTACACTTAGTTTATTCAATGCGCAACGAACCCGATGAAGCTCGAGATATTAATTTTCCCAATGTATATGGATGAGTTTCGAATAGGTCAACGATGTTGAGAGAGTTTGGTACCTAAGGGGGACATTGAATGAGGAAAAAGGGGTGGAAATGGGCAGAAGAGCCGACGCACACCCTTTGGGGACCTAGGGATAGAAGGGTAGTTAAATTGATATCGATTGCTGACTAGAGAATATCGTCTGCCTTATCACCATTCAAACACGCAGGTATTTTACTTTTTCATCTTTCTTAATTCTTCTGCCCTTTTTTAAGATTTTTCATAGACAATAAATCAATAAAAAAAATTCAACTAAATTTAAACTTTCCGGATGAAAGTTATTGTAATAGATCCGATATTGTAAATCTCCAATTTCAATATATCTTTACGTATCAAAGTCTTTAAAATATAATAGTATTTATTCAATAAAGTGATATATTATTTAATCAACAATTTCCTTTTAATAAAATAATTTAATGACTGAATAATTAAACTACAATACTACTTTGTTTATTTATTTATCAAAAGACAAAAAATGATTTTTAATGAATCATTCTCGACCAATTTATAATTTAATTCTTGTAAAAAAAATTATTTCAACAACTGCACTCTCTGCAAAATGTTTATCATGGTTATTAGAACAATTATTAACAATGCTTTGATTAAGAAAACGAAGAGTATCAGGATGATGACAAAAGAGAATAATAGGACCAGAAATATAATCCACATGCAACTCTGGAAATTGCAGAGTGCATGAATAAAACAGTAGTGATGGGCGGCACGTTAGGATAGACATGATTGTAGAGGATATATATATATATATATATGTAGATATATGCGGACGTTGGTGACGATGGCATTGAGCAAAAGTGCCGGAATTTTAAATTCGAATTAGCCCCCTGACGCTCCCGTTGACGATGCTCTTGGTGAACAAAGCTCGCCATAGTATTAAGCAATTACCGTGGTACCGAGGGTTGATTAAAAGCCGACGCTGCCGCTGGGTAAGCAAAAGAGGTAGGCGGTGCTGCTTTACGTGCTATGGAGATAAAATTTAAAAGGGGAAAAAAATAATAGGGAATAAAACAGCGGTATTTCTTTGCGTAAATGAACGATGCATTTAGTGGTGAAGTTGATGAAAAATTATTATATACATATATTTTAACAATCATTTTAATTTTTTATTTAACATCTTCCTTATTAGCTAAGATAAAAAAAACTATTTTAACTGAAATAGGTAAAATTATTTTATAAAACATTATTATTTTGTTAACATGATAATTTTCGTAAGGAATTCATTTGAAGAACATTAGTGTTGAATTTGGTCGTGGCGTAAAGATAAAAACACAAATGTGCTAATCTACTGCACGTACGATCTCAGTTTGTGAACTGCATCAACTTAATTAGGCTACATTAATTATAAGCGTACAATTATTAAAAGACCCGACAATTGATAACCAAGCCTATCTTGGTATACACAATGTGCGACGCAGTGTTAGTATATCCAATGAATTTCATTAATCTCATCTTGAATAGCTTTAATACCTTTTTATCTCAACAATATAAGTGTGATTTTTATTTAAAACGAAATGAGATGATACAGCATCAGGTTCTCAGAGACATTTTCAAGTTGTAAGAGAAGTATAAAGACACAAGAAGATAAAGGTAGTGGGGTTATTGGTCCATGGACATGAACACGAATGAAAGAGGAGAGACAAAGAGGATTGAGGGTGAGGTTGGACTCGTAACGCGACACTTGTGCTCTATGGCTTAAGTTTCATAATACCACTCGCGGCAAACTACGATAGCAAAGATACAAGAACGTCGTATAATTTGCATATCGTCAGCTCGAGCTACAGTTGAATGAAGGAGGAATATGGGGTTAACTTTTAGGAAAATTCTTTTGATCTTAGTTGATGGTTATAAACTTGATTAGCTGCAGAGTCTTACTTTTTAGAGTTACTTTCATTTTCACTTCAAATATCATTTTATAGTTTACTTGTTATTTTTTTTTTTTCTTTAATCAAACATTTTTACTTTCCTTTTGAGTTTAAGATAAAATTTAACAATCAATTAATAGAAATTGGAAAACATGGCTGACATCACTTTAGGCTTGTGCTCTAGATCGTTGCTATGCGAGAAAAATTGACTTGTGTGTGATACTTGAGTGTTTCTTGCTGGTCTCTAGTTGCCTCTGGCACATTTATGTATGTATATAAATACATATATTTATATCTATATTTCTAGTACGTGTGTGTGTTCAAAGTCTTTGCAGACACTCTGGTGTATATATATATATGAATTTTTCGTGTCCTTCCTGGGTACACCATATTTCTATGGCAAATCCCGAGCCAATTTTCGTAGTCACGCAACCGTAAAATGCATTCGATTCGTGACGCTTCCGACATGTTGACATATCGATGGTAAACCAACCGTGCGTGTGTTTTGGTTAGTTTGTCTCTAGACATACGTTGTTCTCCACTTCTGTCCCTTCCATTCGATTTATCCCTTATCATTTTTTTATTTGCTTAGATCATCTATTTTAAAAACTTGTCTCCTTTATGTATATTTCGAAAATATTTTAAAGATTTTCTGAAATATTGTTTGAGTATCACATTGATAAAATTATATTTTAGAGTTACTAAGAATATTTATTGATAAATCATAGCACTATTTAAGCAGGCATAATATTACTGATTATTTCAAAACTTATACCAAAGTTGATAAATGAGATAAATAAAGTAAAAAATTGGTAGAGATGATGATCAATTATCTTGAAGTAAAGTAGTGTATTTTAATTGATCCTTTTATTTGTATGATATGGAGTTGTTGTGCACAATCGAACTGGTACAATAGAATTTTCAAGAGAAAGCAGGATGTTTTTAGAAGAAAATCCCCGAGAAGGGTTGAGAGTTACGACAGCTCGTTATTTGTGGATTAAACTTATCTGAAAGTACTTCTGTCTGACGTTGCACCAATGTTCTATGGCAATTCCATCCTTGAACAAGTCCTTTATACCATCAAGTTTTTTCTTGTATCGTTATTATTGTTGCTGTTGTTATCATTATTGTCATTATACATAACAGCAATGGATTACCAAGTTGGCAATTTAATAGAAAAAAGTTTAGATAAATTTTTGGAAAGAAGTCATTGAAAATTCTATAAAAAGTTTCATTGGATTATCTGGGCATATTTGAGAAGTCCAAGTGCATTACCAATCCGAGTAACTTTGGTAGCAAGTGATCCTCTAGTAGTCTGTTCTATTTCTATACTGGTGTTCTTGCAGTCTCACTGATTCTCTTTAGCTCCACTAGCATCTACACCAGAATCGACTGTTTCTATATACTCTCAAGCTTCTCGAGAACGATAGCAACTACTGGCAATCGGCTTAGTTGCAGCGAAACTTCCAGTAACAAAACGAGGAAGGGGCCGAGTAACTAACTAACCAACTTATAGGTTTGTTACTTTAATTGCACTTTAATCGCATTTATCGCCATTCAACTAATTATATTTAATGGTAATGAATAATTTCAATCACCAGCAAATA